GCTCTTTATAGGATCCTATACAAATTATAGGAAATATAGGATATATAGGAGGTCTGGGATGCCTGAAATGGCCAGTCGAAATAAAAAGAACGTCTTAAACRCGGCTTTTAATTTCCTAAGGAGAAAGAATAGATAAATTAAAGTGAATGACCACAGGATGGGAAGTTTGTGCTGTCATGCTTGAAATTTCTCACGGATACAAAGAATGAATACTAACCATTGTTTGCTTCAAAATGTAATTTGAAAACGTTTTGAGGACAATGTAAGAATTTCCATAATATTTACTTGTCGTACGGCATTTTTTTGTTAGTTTGTTTTTTAATCTATATATTTTTTGAAGAATTGGCAAAGTATCAAAGTATCAGCTTTAAAAAGTTAATAAAAACTTGGATAAAAATATCAAAAAATTGCAAATTTTTGCCGAACATTCGAAACTTCTTACACCGAAAACTCGATATCTTACCCTGTTCTGCTTTTAGCAAAGTGTTAACGAAAAATCATTTTGGGACAGCTTTAAAAAAATTATAAAAAACATGAATAAAAATATTTAAAAATTGCAAATTTTTGCCTAGGCCGACATTAAATAAAGTTACCTTACCTTTATCTAAGAAATACCGTGAAAACAGCAGTGATGTTGAAATCTCCTTACCTCGTACTTCGATGAACATCCACTAACAACCCTATGGAACGACAACTCTACACTATCATGTATCGCTTTCCAGTATCGGTGAACAAGAACAGCCCGTAAGACTTCCGTCAAATGTTATGAAACAAATCTTTAAGCTGATTGGTCGTGATGACCACAACTTCAACCAATCACAAAATGGCACATAAAGTTTATCTCGGTGGGAAACTAGGGGATCAACCAGGGACGATGCGCGCGATAGTCCCAGAGTATGGTGAATGGAGAGACGTGCGCGTTTCGTTTTGTTTTGCTTTTTGGCGCGAAAATTCCAACCAATTCCACACGAACTCCATCAGGGCTTCACATCACATGCTTCAAGTTATCACATCAAAAGCCAAAATTTAGGTGGGCGTTTTTCCCCCGTTAAAACAAATAGACAAACAAATTTGTTTCACAATATTATTTTGCTCGTAAAATCTTCGAAAATATAATATTCGCATAAAATAAGAATAACTTTTCAATAATGGACATAGAAACTTTTTAGATTTTTTTAGAAACATCTCCATTTCGGAGCAAGTCATTTAGAAAGGGATGCGGTACTGTACGTTTTCCACTCGAATAAAACTGCTTTGACCTATAGTATTTGTAGTTCTCATTGATGATGTGAGACCCTTCTTCGAATTTCGTTGTTGAGAATCGTTGCACCAAACATCCAAAGTGACTCGGGTACAAAACCCAGAATCCAGGACTGAAATGAAAAAATTTAAGTTTTTCGATTAATTAAGCAAATGGTCAACTGAGTCTGTTTCAAGGGCAACTAAGTTTGTGAACTTTTTTCCCACGAAGAAAGGCCTGAGTTTTATTGACATTCAGAAACAGCCTCTGGACTGATCAAAGTCAGGGCATGGCTAACTCACAGATTGAACCCTGAAACAACCTCTGGGCTGATCTAAGTCAGGGCATGGCTAACTCACA